TTTTTCTTATGAAAAATATGACTGTGTAATTAAAAAGTTAAATGTTGGTGACATTATTGTTCCCAGATTTTTGAGACACTATTTTACACAACTCATTGTGCTTCAAGGATACAGTGATAAATAGAACCACAGTTACATTTTCCATGTGCTTTTTCCGGACATATTTAATAAAGTCTAGGAATATTTACTTTGAGGTAGTGTTTAAATAAAGCTGGTTAATAAAAGGGTTTGTATTAAGAAAACTTGTAATATTATTGATATTCAAGTTTAAGTTATATTTATTTTGCTATTTTCTTAGATATATGAAAAAGTTTTATATTTATTTTACTGACTGTAAAGAAAATTCTTAGGAAACTTGAATTTTGGTTTAGAGTATCTGTTACAGTTCGTTTTTGCTTATGTAACATGCTCATGACATATAATGTTAAGCTTATTCTGAATTACCTCTGTAGCATAACATCTGAAATAGTTTATATTTTTTGAGTCATCTTGAAGTACAGTAAGATTATGACATAACTTCTGTATTATCAGAAAAATTTTTTATTGTAAATTTAAGCAGATTTTATGTCTTTGCAGATTCTTATATAAACTACTTAAAAGCTACCATTCTTCCTTGATGTTGTGTTGGATAATTAGCATTCCTCATTATAGTGGCTCATAGGGGCTTTCAAGCCACTTGCATGAGAAAGATAGGCTTTTTACTCCCTGAAGAGTTACAGTCTTGGAAATCCACAGGGGCAGTTCTACCGTCTCCTCTAGGGTCACCATGAGTTAGAATCCACTCGGTGACAGTGAGTTTGGTTGTGTTATTTTTCTGTTTGGAGTTTTATATTTCTATGCATCTTAGTTTTTTAACTATAATTAAGGCAGTTATAATAGAAATGGTCTATGCCTTTGACATGGTGCTTCATAAAACATATTCTTTTTAGTAAAATCCTCTTTTTACCTCTTAGTTTGAGGGGACGAAACTAAGATTAAGGATTTCAGACAAGGGCTGGAGGAAGGCAAATCTTTCTTAGCCCAAGTAGTTATAAAAAACAAAAGGGAAGGGTATTTGTGCCCAAGTGTACTATTAGTCAGAAACCATGAATGCCACTCAAAAACATCAATGTCAAAGGTTAAATTGTTTCCTACAAGATCTAGAGCACTGTACAAAATGTAGATGGTAGAATAAAGTCAGAGGAAAGGAACTACCTTGAAAGTTAGAGTCCCTTTGGGGAAAAAGGATTTAAGTTAGTCTGTTCATTCATCTGAGGTTCCTCTTTATTTGTTTAGAGAAGAGTCACATGGAGAACCCACAATGCACCTAGATGCTTCAGAGCAAGCACAGCAATGTCACGTACGAACAGACCGCTGAGATTCCATGATCCGTCAGTTCAGTTACTCTTTTCTGTGCTCTGTAATTTTCTGTGTGCCCTCCAGCCCAAGCCCCAGCCCTGAGTGAATCCCGGTTTTGATTTCCTTTGTACCTGTAACTGAGGAAGTTGTACAAACTGATGGGCAGCATTTCACTTAGGGCCCTCTCAGCATCGTCCTCAAATCCATCTCCTCCCCTTTTCTTCTCCTTAGTCTTCTCACAGTTCAGAACCCTGCCCCTTTTCTGACTTTCTTTGTACCAGATTTTCCCTTGTTCAACAGAAAAGTTGTAAGCCTGCACATGGGAACCCCCTTACTTTCCATCTAAGAAATCTGCGTGCACTCTGCCGCGTGCTCTCAGGTTACTTCCCGTTAACAGTGGGGGATTGCCAGTCTCTGGCAGGCTCTTCTATCTGTGGTCAAGTCTGTCATTTTAACAGGGAGACAAAAAACTCTCGTCTACACTGTGTTCCTTGCTTTGGTTTTTTTCTTTAAGCATCTTTTGACAGAAAAAGTGGGCAGCGTTCCTGTGCACCCCGTCCGCTCCTTGCACACCCGGTCTTCTCTTAAAGCCCTGCATTCCTGACACATGTAGTAGTTGACGATACAGGGGTTTTTCTTCATATGTTTGAAATGAACTTGTATGTCCCTAAAAACTCCCAAGTCCAGTTCAGTTTACTCTTCTCCCATTTTTTTTTAAAGCTACTCACACGAAGACTTAGGTCTGAGCGGCAAGGAATCTAGAGGGCTTTTGTTTTCCTTTCAATACTTGGTTTTGGGAGAAGTACACTGTATATACTTACACAGCCATCTCAACAAACGAAATCAGCAACAATATCCTGTTAAAAAACCCCATAAATGAGGTTCCCTGTCTCTCTTCTTTCTTTTACAACGGTGTTATTGACTAAAGTTCCTAGTTTACGTTCAGGTCACTCTGGGTTGCACTGTCCTGCAGGCTTTGATACATGTGTGATGTCATGCATCCACCGTCACCGTGTCGTACTGCATAGTTTCACTGCCTGGACCATGAATTGTGCTGACCGTCTCGTGTTGCCATACTTACAGCACATGCCTCTATTTCTCTTGGTGTATGTGTGTGTGTGTGTGTGTGTGTGTTCCTTTACTAGGCTGATGCAGGGCATTTGTAGGGAGATAAAAAACACAAGACAACATTGCTCTTGACTAGATCCTGACTCTTAGTAACCCTATAGAACAGAGCAGAACTGTCTCAAAGCGTTTCCAGGACTGTAAATCTTCACGGAGGTGCACTGCCACATCTCTCTTCCAAGGGTGGTTTGAACCATTGTTCTTTCAGTGCTTAATCTGAGCTACCAGGACTCTTCGCCGAGGAGGGTAACCAATACAAATTTCCAGGCTCTGGGGCCCAGAAGGGCATCTTGGGTAAAGTGATCAGATTTAAAGTGGGACACCATTGACTGTATGTGTGTGTGTGTGTGTTCGTTCGTTTTTGATTAAAGATTTGATCTATATGGACCAAGTAGACTGTTCCCTAGCTTGTCATGCATTCTTTCCAAAAATTGGGACTTTTTTAAAACGCCAAAAATTGGGACTGTCCCGCCAAAAGCGGGATGTCTGGTCACCTTAATCTTGGGTAAAGTCCATATGAAGTAGTTAGCTAGTTCCTACTTACTTAGAAACCTAAAGAAGTTTTTCTCTCTGGGGTCCGTCTGTCCCTCAAGTTGTGTTATTCCAAAGTCCTTCCTTAACTAGCCTGCACCTAATCAGATGTGCGTTCCAGTCTTCATCCAGGGCAGTGGTTCTCAGCCATCCGAACCTGGCCCTTTAATACAGTTCCTCATTTGTGGCGACTCCCCAACCATACATTTATTTTTGTTGCTACTTCATAACTGTAATTTTGCTACTGTTGATAACCGCTGATCTAGGTAGATGTTTTAAAAGCAAGATGGTTGACCACGCTTTCATTATGGAAACATGCTTTTTTTCTGACTTCTTTTTCACTGCTATCTCGAATCCCACCCTCACTTGTCTGGCGTATGCTTCTACTTCATGTACCAGTACCTCCTCCTCCTGCACCCCTTTGCATTTAAGTTCTTCAACATGTTATCCTAAGCTTTCCAGTATTTGCTCTAATCTCGTTTCCCTGAGACTATCTGTTCAAATCTCTAAAGAGCTGATGTATAAGTGAACGTTGGGTAAAAACCATTTAGAGATGTGGACTGCTCACACATTCTGAGGACATGACACTTGAATATTAGAGCAACAAAGCAAGGACAGCTTCTTCCTAGACAATCAGACCCCGAGGCCCACAAGGTGGAAGGGATTCGTTCTCCCAAAATCACATCACTAGTACTGGTCACTAGAACCAGCCTTTCCGTTCAATACTTTTCTCATGATTTTGTTTTATTTTTTCCCCCAAATACAAATTCACTTACACAGTCGCTCACTCATGCTTTTTGAAGTTTATTGACATTTTAGAACATTAAGTGGCCTGTATTATCTTTAGTTTTGACTACATGATGTACTCCATTTTTGAATGGGAGCCACTTCTCTTTTCTCTAAGTGGGCGTAGAAATGCCTGTGGACGTTTCTGTCTATGCACAGATAGCAGGTTACACGAATTACACTAAAAAATTTAGCCGGATGTTAACTCTATTATAGACACTTCTTAGTCCTTGAAGAAAACTTTTTGATATAAGAAGGTAATGTGTTAACTCCGTGCTCACGGCCATCAAGTTGCTTCTGACTCATGAAATAGTAGGACTGCCTCCATGGGTCTCCAAGACTGAGACTCTGTATGGGAGTAGAAAGCTTCATCCGATTTTGAACTGTTGATTCTGTGGTTAGCAGCCCAACATAGAACCAACCCACTATGCCACCCGGGTCTTCCTAACTTGTATTATGCAAGCATCATTGATATGGGCCAGAGAAATCTATGCCTTAGATTACTAGATACCATTTAATGATTACCTCTTGAACCTTGCCCTTGACCTCCGGGAGAAATAGTCAGGAACGAATAAATCATAATTGGGGACACACGATCCGCCTGGCAGTATTTTTGAGGAATCCTGCTCAAAACATTTCTGAGTCAACTGTTGATTGAATTTCTTCCTTTTGTATATGTATAAAATATCGATAACTGTCATGTTTGGTTTTTGTTCACAGATTATTATAAGTATAGGCCTCATGTTTTATGTAGTTCATCGAGCTCAAGTGGAATTGAATGCAGCTATCGTAGCCTGTGAAATGGAACTGAAAACCTCCCTGGTTAAAGGCAGTCAACCGAATACCACTGGCTCTTCATTCTACAACAAGAGGACCCTAACATTTTCTGGAGGTGGCATCAATATTGTATGATTCTTTCAAAATGTATGGTTGTCAAGAGCCTAGCGTGCTGTCCCAGGGCTGCCAGTCACTTGACTGGTGGGCAGAGACACGTTGTAATTGGATTAATGGCACAGACAGAACTGACCACTTTTTAAATTGCACAACTTTTTTAAGGCAAGAATCATTTTCTGGATGTGTAAACGTATGTATAGATCCAATTTTGGCTGCACCTCTTTAATCACTTATCACGCTCGAAATGGCCTATAGGTCTGCACTTTAGTGTTTTTTAATTATTTTATTTCTGGGTACTTAAGAACAGAGAAATAACCCCAATATTTTTCTGCTTAGTGTCTTTATTTATAAAGTCCATGAATAAGTGTATGCATCTTTCCTACTTGTTAGGATGTGTAATTGTATGCAATTGTACGTATGTGGTATGATTGGACGCGCTCTGCTTTGGTAGTCATTTCAGGCAGGTAAACAGTGGCATTGGCTTTGTTTTGTCATTTTTAAGTGGGACCACTGTGCTTTCCTGTTTTCTCTCTAGTTGGAAAACACAGTAACTGTTGGTTGGATGTGTTTTTTGTAAGTCATCACATTGTCGCAGGGCGTTTACACATACACAAGCTTATCTCCTACATTGTGGGACTGAAGTGCTCTTAAGATGCCTTTTTGTGTTCACTGTGTAATATGCAAAGCAAAAGGGAAGCGGTTACTTAATGGGCGGTCATCCCATTGGGACACGTGTTCTAATCCCATTGGGACGCGTCACCCTCTCTAGGTCTGTCATCAAGGGCTGTCCCGTCACAATCTCACAGAACCCTTTATTAGAGGAAACTCTCTTCCTTTTTGTATTCATAATGAGGCTTTGAAATAAAGATGTTAGCCCTTTAAAATGTGGACTTACTGTTATTGAAGATGTCACTCAGGTGGCCTTGTTTGATCAAAACTTTTATAAAAAAATATCAAGCTTTAAAATCATATTTCTAATTCCATTGAGGTATATTATACGTAGCCCCATAGTCTTCAGCTTTAAAACTATAAATTAGTATTAACTTAATGCCTACATTTGTGTTATTTGCCCTAGTTTTGAGTGGGCTTTATTTTGAATTTTTGAGGGGGGATTACTTGTGTTTCTCTGATAAGACTCAGGAATTCTGAAATGTGAAACGAAGTGTCTCAGTTCTATAGCTCTGATAGCTTGAATTGAGTGGATTTATTAATAACTCATATAAGGACAAAATATAATAATTTGGCATAAGATTCATGTATCTCATTTCATTTATCACCTTATTTTTAAAAATAGTTTTATTGTGAACCTAAGGATTAAGTATCTATTTTTTTTCCTATGAAGATTCCAACTTATCAGAGACTGGACATTTTCATTAGGGTAAAAGTGTTTGCCCTCTTGGAAGCAGGTTATCCTAGTCTTATACTAGAGCTGCATTCGACCATTTCAGCGCCTCATTTCTTTGCCCGATTGTAGACACACTTGCTTTTTGTTTGTTTGTTTGTTTGTTTTCCTTTCCTCCACCTTGGAGTCAAGTTTGTTTATGTGTCCAGACCAAGAAGCCCTCACTGTAAATGCTTTGAGAGAGACCTGGGTTTGTACCACATAATCGACCTCCAAAAATTTCCTTGCATTATCGATGGGGGAATATATATATATAATTAGAATATCTATCTTCTATTGGATCCTAAAAAATTATTTTAGTTTAAAATCCCAGTGAACAATATATTTGATTGATTCTTTTCTGTCCAATTTCACATTTCTGTTGTTGCTGTCTGCTTTTTGTTTGTTGATTCATTTTTGTTAAAAGTCTCCTTAATTTAAGATAATTTGTTTTCCCATTGCTTTATACTTTATGTATTTTGAAGTGCATTTATTTACTTAGCATTTTATAACTTGAATAATCTCACCAAATGAATATGTTCTGCTAGTTTGTACTGAGTTCTTCCAATTGTTACACGTCGCTTGATATTTGTAATAAATATTTATCTAAAGGTTAATGTGAAATAATTTTGTTTCTGTATTCTGCCAATCATAATTTTCTATAATAAAATCATTCTTTTTTTCTTAAAGAAAAATAATACGGGTTGACTATTTCTAAACCACGTGATCTATATCTGCATCTTCAACCCCTTCCCCCTTGTTCAATATTTTCCAATCTCAAGTAAACAACAGTCCATCAGAGTCATGCTATGTGATAGCTGGGCTTGGTTGCTGGGTTCTGAGGTTATGCTGTCAGCTGTGGATAACATGACCGTCCGTGCCTTGTTCACTCCATCTTTTGCCCTCCATCATAGAGGAGAGGCCAGCAACAACTGTCTACAAGATCCCTCTCTGCTGCTCACATACTGCTTCCAGCCAGGTAGTGTCTATTTAAAATAAAATGTTTAGGGTTTATCAAACTATTTCAGTGCAGTTTAAATCTGCTTTATGTCCATTAAAAACAAACAAACCAGACGCATAAAGTACACCTAATTCTCAAGTTGAAGAGATACATTTTATTTTTCCTTCTTTGGGCCTTTTCCAATTTTCCATGTTGTTTATTGTTAACAAGTTTTCTTTATTCTTTGCCAAATTTTGCATGTAAGTTGTTTAAAAGCAACATATCTCTCTAAAAACAAGCATATAATAATTCCTCCATGCTTTTATGTCCATTTTCATTTGATTGCTTGATTTGTGAAATCATTTACAACCTGTATTCTCTGGATTGTGAAAACAATATAATATAACTAAACCGCTGTCATTAGGATATGTCTGGTGATTTTATGTTCAGAAGTAACTGTAGGTTTGCTCGAAGCCAGCCATTCTTTCCTCTGCTTCACTTTGTAAGCAAATTCAGCCCCTTCTAAGATGGCATTCCCTTGAGCAGATCAATTATATGATTTGGAAAACATTTCCCCCCCTTACAAAGCTATTAATTCATTTCAGCGGTGTGTTAGTCTGGGTTGACTAGAGAAACAAATTCATGGACACTGATATGTGTATAAGAGAGTTTTATATAAAGGGTAGTTGTACATTAAGAAAGCATCCCAACCCAGTCCGGTCCAAGCCCCTAAGTACGATATTAGCCCATATGTCCGATACTAATCTATAAAGTCCTCTTCAGACTCAAGAAACACATGCAATGATGCTGAATGCAGGACGATCACAGGCCAGTGTATAGAAAGTCTTTGGATCCAGTGGCGTTGTAAGCATCTCAGCGCTGGCACGGGTCTCTACGTGGCTCCTCTGGCTTCAGAATTCTGGTTGCATCAGGGTAGGTCCATGTGGATTCTCCAGCTCTGGGCACTAGTGTAGCTCCATGTGTCTTGTCAGCTTCAATGTCTCCCAGGGAGTGAGTAGAGAAAGAGGTGTCTCCTGCCTCCAAGAAGGAAAACTCAGCAACTCCCTGAATCCTTAGGGCAGTCATTCTCAACCTTCCTAATGCTGTGACCGTTTAATACGGTCCCTCATATGATGACCCCCAACCATGAAACTATCTTCATTGCCACTTCATAACTGTAATTTTGCTACTGTTATGAATAGTAAGGTAAAAATCTGATATGCAGGATATATTTTCATTGTTAGAAATTGAACATAATTAAACAAAGTACAGTCATCAATCACGAAACAATATGTAATTCTATATTGGGAAATATGTGTTTTCTGATGGTCTTAGGTGACTCCCTGTGAAAGGGTCATTCAACCCCCAAAGGGGTCGCAACCCACAGGAGAACCGCTGCCTTAGGGGAAGGCCATGTCAATACAGAGATCTCAATGGCCATATCCTAATTGACACACCTACACTCCACCTGTACTCTTAATCCTCAAATTGATACTAGATTATGTAGCTACCATAGACCACCCTTGTCAATTTGACACGTTCACATAACTCTTCAGCCATATATAATTTTCAAACAAACAAAATCCTATCTGTACCTAAGGGATAAAACTAAAATACATATAATATGTGCCACCCTTATTTAAACTTAACATTTTATAAGTGAGCAAAACAAAAATATTCTATATTTATGTGAACACCTACACCTTATCCTATAATCCTATGAATACTTTTCCCCACCTATGAAAGTTTGTGAGCCAACTACTTCATGCCTTTATCCCCCCATTTTGGATATTCAATTTCTATATTACCCATTTACATCAACCCAGTGCTCTGAGGAGACAATCATATTCTTTGATGTGAAGAATCTTCATTCCAGTTGGAACCTTGTGACTCCACATTCATAAGCAAAGTCAAATCAGAACAGGCCATCCATAAAGTCTGAAATATACACCAGTTCACAGGTTCAAAAATCTCATTTGGTCAGGTCGTGGTCAACTGAATGTGGGTTGCCTCACTTAGCCTTACCAGAGTGCCCCTTGGTCACTTCGCCTATAGGCCATCACAAATTCACAACCCTACCCCCATCACAAATTCACAATCCAAACCCCTTTTGAACTAGATCATGAACTTCAGACCAGTCAACCTGCTCTCGTTCCTTGTAAGCCAGGTCTACGGGTGTCAGTGGCCAGACTCAACTTGTCTCTCTATTGCTGCATTTCTCCTACTTCCACTCAACAAGTGGATCCAGGTGGTCACCTAGCAAGCTTTCAGCCTGCCCACAGGCTCCCTTTAACCTTCAGTCCCAGAGAGGAGTTATCTTCATGGCTCTATATTTTTTCCAGCTTCTGACAAAAACCACTAGTTCAAACTTCAAATCCAAAGAGTTCCTTTTTTCCCTCCAATCTGTCAATCTTGCCCCCAGGCAAGTCTCTTGGAATGCAGATGTCCTGAATACTCCAAAACACTGGTGGGGCTAATCTCAGAGCCTTCTTGGCAGGAGTGTCCTAAACCCATTTAAGGATCCAATTTTAATGGCTGAAGACAAGCGGGATTACAAACTATTTTCATACTTCCCAATAAACATTTTTATAAATAATCATATCGATAATAAGCAGAAGAAATAAGAATAAACAAAATAGAATCAGATACTAAATTCAATTCTTAAAACAGTCAACTTCAATATTTAGCTTATCTTAATTCTTATCTAAGCTAGTCTATTGATACAAAAATATGGGATGAGGCCTCTGAGAGCATCAAAACAGATCCAAGCTTTCTGTCAGCCTTTTGACCTCAGTCAGCCATTTCCTGTGAGCAGCACGGTTTCTGAGAAATTCAAACAGCGATTTCTACCCCTAACCCATTTTCGCCATTTCACACAGGAATAACCCAAAACTACAACCAAACAAAATAATTAAAACACTAATTTCCCATTCTTTCCAGAAAACAACCCAGTAAACTGCATGGACATATCTGACCTCTGGCTAGCCAAAGAAGAAACATTACCATTGAGGGAACGGTTAAAAAAATATCTACTCTCCATCCTTATGATTTGTTCCTCTAGTACCCCAATCCCAAACTACCATATGTGTTAGTCTGGTAGACTAGAGAAACAAAATCTGAGACTCATGTGAACCTGAAAGAGGTTTATATACAAGGGCAGTTAAATATTGAGGAAACATCCCAGCCCAGTCCAGTCCCAAGCCCATAAATCCGTTATTAGACAGATACCAATCTATAAAATCCTCTTCAGACTCAAAAAACACATGCAATGACGCCGAATGCAGGACGATCACAGGTCAGTGGGTAGAAAGTCTTTGGATCCAGTGGCGTTGTAAGCATCTCAGTGCTGGCAGGGGTCTCTGTGTGGCTTTTCTGGCTTCAGAGGTCTGGTTGCAGCAGGGTAGTTCCATGTGTCTTGTCAGCTGCAATGTCTCTTGGAGTGAGCAGAGAGAGGTGTCTCCCACCTCCAAGAAGGAAAATTCAGGAATTCCCAGAATCCTTAGAGGAAGGCCATGCCTACACAGAGATCTCATTGGCTATATCTTGAATGACAGACTAGACTCCACCCCTACACTCTTCATCCTCAAATTGACACCAGATCATGTAACTACCACAAGCGGGTAGTCCCATTGGCTTCTCTGTAGCCAAACTAACTGCTGTAGCTACAAGCATATCCCCAGCATTTCTGGATTTGTTAATGTGCAATGCTGGTGGGGACTTTTTCTGAAAGGTGCTGCGGTTGACATTTGTCCATGTTTGTTTGCTGTGGGTCTGTCTGTGGAGTGCTTGAGGAAGTCACCAGTTATGTGCCGGGTTGATGCCAGTTGTTTAATTAAAATGGTGCCATTCATTACTAACTAGAATTTGCAGAGATGCGAGTTTTATGTGACTCTTAGAAATAATGCCACTGGCCAAAATGTTTCATTCCAGACAGAAGCCCCTTGCTGTACCAGGAAGATGGTCAGTATATACTGGACATTGTTAATTTCTCACTCACATTTAGAATGTAATTTTGATACAGGCTTTACTTTTAAAAGCCATTACAGAAGGGAGAGGTATCACATGCTTCCCAGGTTATTTAAAACTCAGAAGTTCAATAGTAACCTTCCATATAGAATATAAGCTGTTAAACTTATTTCAAAATTAAATGATAACCTGGTACTTAAGAATTGCCAGCTATGTTAGTCTGGGTAGACTTGAGAAACAAATCCATGGACACGCGTGTATAAGAAAGAGATTTATATACAAGACTAATTGAATATTGAGAAAACATCCCAGCCCAGTCCAGTCCAAGTCTATAAGTCCGATATTAGCTCATATGCCCAATACCAATTTATAAAGTCCTCTTCAGACTCACGAAACACATGCAATGCTGTCGAGTGCAGGATAATCACAGGCCAGTGGGTAGAAAGTCTTTGGATCCAGTGGCATTGGAAACATCTCAGCACTGGCAGGGGTCTCTGCATGACTTCTCCAGCACCCAGGGCTGCATCAGGATGGGTCCATGTGTCTTGTCAGCTGCTATGCCTCCCAGGGTGTGAGCAGAGAGTCTCCCCCCTCCAAGGAGGAAATACTGAAATTCCCAGAATCCTTAGGGGAAGACTATGCCCACACAGAAGCCTCATTGGCTATGACCCGATTGACAGGCTAGACTCCACCCTACACGCTTGATCCTTA